TTTCCTACATCTAGACTTTGTATCGTCTGGTTGATAAACTGGTATTCCTCTTCTGTTTCCATGGATACCAAGATCCCGCCATTCTCTTGACAAATCTTATTGCTATCTTCCCAACTCTTCTTAATATGGTGGAATGAATAGCAGGAGCAATTGCTCGTTTCTATAATAGGACATAATATTGATAGAGTTTTAAGTCCGAACTAAGATACAGCAAATATGAAAAGCCTAAGGCACAAAAAAAAACAAAAACAAAACCGCATTGTACAATCACGTACACACGGCTTTGCGTTATGTTTAAATAGTTTGAGCCGTAACCACTGGTTAAGTTAATTATGATAAAAGTATTGCTTTTGTTTCCAAGATTGTACTCACCAATAGCAAAGATACTCTCCCACTGCCATACAATAAGTAACAATGTAACGGCTACGATACCTCGTGGCGCACGATGTCTCATTTTTTTTTTCCTGATTCAGATGGTCTTACTGTTAGATATTCCTGAAGAAACACAATCAACAATTAATTGTTCCAACACAAAAAATACCTGAATGTTATCCGGCAATATATTTCATAAATACTACCTCAGTTTTAAATCCAGTGATTTATACTTAGTAACATGGGCGTTCTCAACAATGGACATCATTGAAGTTGTAAAAAAGTGTATAATTGCCTTATTTTCAATAAGAGTATGTTCATCGGCGATGTCAGAATTCATGTCAAGACACAATTGTCAGGCAAAAGGCATGCGGAGGTGTAATATATACAGTACGATTGGCCGTGTTGTATCAGATATACAACCACGAGGCGTAGCCGAGTGATTGTATATCTGATACAACACGGCCACTCATATGACTGTATATGACTTATCAAACGTCTAGGTTAGTTCCTTTGTGTTTCATTAAAATTTTCAAAATTAAAGTGAATTTGGCCAAGAAAATCCAACTTAAAGTTTATGCAAATGAACACAGTTTTGAATCAGATTTACAACACTCTTCACGGTCGTGATTTCTGTTGTGTTTTCCTCATGAATTATTCATGCATTTAATAAGTATAGAAAGAAATGCAATGTCCAGTTAGGTACTGGAAATTCTTGGATAGCGTGACGCCAAAAAAATCTGGACCCTTCTCATCATTGTTTCTGACGGCGGGACAAGTCTTTTAGAATGTAGTGTGCAATATAAACTTACGATGAAAAAAACAAACCAAACAAACAAACAAATAAGCAAGCAAGCAAACAAACAAAAGTTGTATGCAACTTATACAATGCCACAAGAGTAACAGCATCTTTGATATTACAGAATATGCTGCCGTTATTAATTGAATAAGTTACTGACATAGCCCATTCGGAATGCGGTATCTTCTATATAACCACGACTATAAATAAGCGAACTATAAATATAGACAACTATTAATCACCTTTTGTTTATCTTGTTAGTATCCAAACTGCCCACTCTAGGTTTATAACAATACACAAATATCCAAAAAGCGCTGATAATGACAACTGGTATATATCTTAATTAAGGTTATTATTTCAAGTCAGAAAAAGATTAAAAGAGCATGTGATTTTCTGATTGGTTCCCAAGCGAAGCAAGTGAGAAGGATTCAGCAAAGGAAAAGTAGAGACTGAAGCATGAGTCAGAGTCCATAGTGTATGAGAGTATAATTTTACTTATTCAAATATCCGACCCTTTGAGTTGAATAACGTTTTGTCATGCATCAAGCCCTCACATACTGAGGTTGACATTCAATTACATATT